GACCTGGGATTAAAACCTGTTGAAGGGCGTCTGTGCCGTTTCCGAGGTCAAGATCTGAGAGATTATAACCAGCTCCTCATGGAAACAGTCAGTAGTGGTATCTAATGGTGGCTGCTGCATGGGATGCTCCTTGAGCAATGAGATCAATTGTAATATGACATTTCAGCGTCATTCGACTTTTCCCACTTCTCTGCTGCAAATGAAGCCACGGAAATGCAGCGGTGAGCACATTGGCTCCCCTGGCCAGATGCTTGTATGTTTGAATCCCTTTTGAAGCAGTGTTACTTGAAAAAGAAAGGCTAGATTGACCCGCCCTTATATCTCTTTATAGATTATTTAAATGATGTTGGTAAACACGTCTACCCACACCCTTCTGTTACAATGACTACCACTATCAGTTACTACCACCATCATCACCATGAACACCATCACCATCACCTCACTACCATCCCCACCACAATCGTCATCCCCCCAATCCTACAGCAACCACAACCACAATCACCCCACAGCCACCATCACAATCACAACCACATCCATCCCCACCATCACCGCACAACCACCACCACCACAACCACCACCCCCTGCACCACCACATCCATCACCACCCCCTGCACCACCACTGCTCCCACTACCACTATCAACATAACCCCCCCCCCCCCCCCCCCCCACACACACACACACAAACACACACACCTCCCACTACCATCATTAGTTGCTGCTTGATAATCTGTTTGAGGGTTCAGTACAATAAGAATATAGCAGTACAAGAGAACAATGATGAACATGCATGTCAGTGTGTTTTGAGACTAGATCTTAGTAATCAGCTAAAAACCATCTTTCTGTTTTTTCAGGGTGACAGCAATGCAGGATTCTTACGAGCCGCCAGGAGATGGCAACTTGGAGGATGTTCTTCACTATATCAGGAGTGGCATTGACATCAACACTAGCAACCCTGTGAGTACCAATCCTCTGCTGCAGGTTTCAGATTTTCTCAGATTTATTTCCCTCAGATGATACTTCAACCACCTTATATGGGTTCTGCAGGCCTCATTTGGGGAGGGGGAGAGGGGAATAGACTCGCTGACCTGCATGGCCTACAAGGCGACTAATTGAAGGTTTGACGGAAAGACACATTTATCACAAATTAGATGCAAACCACAGCACACCATGGAGAAAGACATATCACAACCTAGATGCAAACCACAGCACACCATGCGGAAAGACATATCACAACCTAGATGCAAACCACAGCACACCATGCGGAAAGACATATTACAACCTAGATGAAAACCACAGCACACCATGTGGAAAGACATATCACACAACCTAGATGCAAACCACAGCACACCATGCAGAAAGACATATCACAACCTAGATGCAAACCACAGCACACCATGCAGAAAGACATATCACAACCTAGATGCAAACCACAGCACACCATGCAGAAAGACATATCACAACCTAGATGCAAACCACAGCACATCATGCAGAAAGACACATATATCGCAACCTAGATGCCAACCACAGCACACCATTCAGAAAAACACATATATCACAAGCTAGATGCAAACCACAGCACACCATGCAGAAAGACATGTCACAACCTAGATGCAAACCACAGCACATCATGCAGAAAGACACAACCGGGATGCAAACCACATTTAAGCACATCATGCAGAAAGACACAACCTGGATGCAAACCACATTTAAGCACATCATGCCTATCACCCTTTTAAATTAAATGCAGAGGAAGCAGGTGTTACAGCTATTCCAAGAGCATGAAGTAGGATGCTGAAGAGTAACTTAATGATAACATAGCATTCTCATTGGTTAGTTCAATATTAACCATCAGCATTGTGTAGCAGGTCCTGTAGAAAACATCACTCCCATCCTGGAACCCCAGAAAGCCACCCTGTTTCCTGCCAACTTTCCAACCTCATGAACTTAAGTTCACACAATGTCCTTGATACACTGTGTCCACTGTCATGCTGACCAAGTCCTGCCTGTTCTTCCAGGAACAATACCCTCCATTACAGTTTTCTTTAAAGATACAGATCTTAGATGGGTAGTGCGGAGGATGCCATCCAGCAGATTTGTCGCTTTTCAGACATTAGCCTAGAAAATGAATGGGTGCATTTGCCTACTGCTTCAAACATAAGCGTCGGGGTCCATATCACCCTCGACAGAAGCTGCAGAGAACAGATCCTTGGCATAGTGGACACTTTAGTCAAAACGTTGATTGATGAGAACACGTTAATGATGCTGTGGTTTACACGGATGGATCGGTCCCCCGGGGCACGGCAGAGTGCATGGGCCTTGACTATGAGCACAGAGGTAAAACCATGAAAAAGATGAGTGGTGCTTTTGCTGTCACAGCCAGCAGCCTCACAATGGCGACCATGCCGGCAACAAGGGCATTGGTATGGCTGGGTACTCAAGAACTCACACATGTGTGCATACTGAGCAATTCAGTTAAATGCTCAAGAAAATCCAGGGCGGCTTCATTAGACATGAATGGATTCTCTCCTAACTTTATCTTTGTGCTGGGAGATGCGGGTGTTCAAGGCAATGAGCAAATGAGCATGCAGATTATCTTGTAGACAAGGCGGTTACCACGACTGGCCCAGTACTCTACAGGAGTGATGTCATTAATGCCATGTGAGCTGCATGTCACAGAGGAGATCATGACAACAAGCAGGTCTCAGTATCCTTGTCCAGGTTAGTGGACATAGGGGTGCAGCCTGGAGTAGCCAGATATGAACAGTTCACCAAGGGCACAAGGTGTCTGGTTAATCAACACACAATGGGTGTGGTCAGTCACTTTACTCTTGTGGAGCTTCTGAGGAGATCTGTCCGGAGTGCTGTGATTTCCTCATTAATTACCAAAACATCATCATCATCATCTGCCTATTGCATTTTTATATGTCACATAAGGTTTGCAGTCTGCCTCTCTATTGTCTCCTCTCCTGTGCTGTCCTTTAGATATCGTAGCTGAATTACGTCCAGCACCTTTGGCCTCTCTCAACAACGTTCTTCATAGGGTTTCTCTAGGGCATCCTTGTCTCCTTGATCCATTTGTTTCCCACTTCAGTTATTTACTTTTTTTTGCATTATTATATAAATTCAACCATGTACATCCTTTCCGAAACATTAATTCCCACTCTGTCACTGTTGTCTCTGACAACTGAAAGAAACAGAATCACCGCTTTTTGAGCTTCTTTGGAGGGATTTGGGATCAACCTGACCATTTTCTCAACAGTCTAAAACAGAACCTGTGTACATGGGGCGATAAGCACATGCTCTTTTATTCATTGGCCAGTACTTATCACATGTCTCTGACATGATGTTCAACGCTGCCATTTATTTATGAATGGTGTGGCACAAACAGGTTTTAAATGAATCTGGTAATCTTAGTTTCAGCTTCTTAGCAAACGGGTCACCACATAGTTTCTCTGCTCCTGTGCCAACGAAAAACACACAGAATGTTTATTACTGTCCCTTGTGGAAAGATTGACATTTAAAATGAATGCTGCTTATATTTATAGTTTGTTGAAAAGTTATTCTCTTGTTTATTTACTTCTTGCCTTGTAAAGCTTTAAAGCATATAGTAATAATGTCTTCTGTATCTACTGCCTTCAGAATGGACTGAATGCTCTTCACCTTGCCGCGAAGGAGGGTCATGTCAAGGTTGTGGCAGAACTCCTTCGACGAGGAGCTAATGTTGAAGCAGCAACCAAGGTATCACTTTTCTGCTGTGTATTTTTGTTTAGCTAGATTAGTTAGATAAGTGTCAGTTGATAAACATGATTTTGTGATTCTTCTGCTCCTCTGCTCCTCCTCTTCTTCATTTATTGTTTTTTCTTCCTCTTCTTCCTGCCATTTCTTCCTTCTTTCACAGAGCATGTTGAGAGAGGTGGCCACACATATGCTTCATACAGAGTGCAAGCGTGGCTTCAGAGGTCCCAGGTAGTTTGCATTGTTTAGATATTTTCTCCAGGTCAGGCCGGTGTTTTTGGGAAATGAACTGGCAGATTGACTGGCTAGTTCTGTACCACTTGGTGCTGAATTGATACATAACAAGCTAGATGATCTAAGGGTCCTTTAAGAGCAAGTGGACAACGCAGAGGCACAAATAGATCATCCTGGTCCGAGGAGAATGGGGCTGCGAGGAGTGACCAGAGGGATCTGGACGATGCTCAACACTCAAGGGAGAGGCAAGAGGGATATACATTCATATTACCGCTGGTACCATCGGAAACAAAACTCTGCCATTGCTGTTGAAGATGGGGACGGAGCGCTTATGGGAATGTCCAGAGTGTGATGTTGATTCTTAATTCAATGTTAAACATCCTTCTTGTCACTTACAGTTTAGATATGTCTATACAATAATTCAGATTGTCTGGAAGTCATCCTGTATCAAGTCCTCTAAAAGCATCCACAAAACAGGTTCACCATGTTTGGAGGCAAAAAAATTAACCTGTAATAATTGGCACTCATAAAAAGAAAGAAGAAAAAAGATGTTTGGACACAGGAAGAAGTTACACATTTTTTCTTTCAAATCCTTAATTTTCCCCTTATTTAATCTTTTTATTTTTATTGGAAAAAAAAAATTTATACTACAGGAGAAAACTACAATAGCTCCAGTGTTGATTCTCATAAGTGATTTTACTTATGCCTACTCTTCTAAAACTACCTAATGATTTTACTTATACCTGTCTTGTAATTTTAATTGTGCCCTTTTTTCCTAAACTTATTCATTATTTTACTTCAACCTTTCCAGTCTTCTTCTTCTTCTTTTAATCTCACCGCCAGTGGTTTTCGGATAAGTAGGCCACAGGTTTCCATATAGTCAATGGTGCCATGCATCTTCCATGGATCCATGCAGCTGAGTTTCCTTTGGAATGCTAGCCAGACAAACGAAGTTGTGGAATAGCATGAGCATTTACAGCTCGCTCGTCAGGCAGAAGAGTTCAAGAAGCAAGCGGTGCCTTCTCCATGACTACCAGCAGCATGACGAAGGAGCAAATGGCGATGACACAAGCTTTCATGGTGCTAGAATCACAGGATTATTCCCGCATGTGTGTGCTGAGTGATTCTTTGAGTATGATCCGGCCGGTCGAGGCAGGCTGGTTATGCAGACAGTGGTTTGAGTCATTGCAAAACTCTCCTGTGTGTGCAGTTACCTTCATATTCGTCGCAGGATATGCAGGTGTTGTTGGTAATGAAAGAGCTGATAGACTGGCAGGTGCTCTATTAATTGAAGATGGCCAGCCCGTGATTCAGGCAGACATTCTCATTGCCCTTAAAGAGATAGGACGTTCTAAAGATTTTGGAACAAACGTGTCCACATCACTGCTAAGAATACGAGAATTGGAAGTAAAGTTTGGCACAGCCAAGCATGAGAAGCACACCGGACGCACACAAAGTCTTGTTAACCAACATAGGACTGGCACTATTAATGTGCGACGCTGATGAATATGTTGAGAGGATAATCTAACTCATAACTCAACTCATAGTTGTTGAATAATCTGGATTTGATTATTGAACTGGGGTCATAGTTGTGGACACAAGGATGCATTGCACTACTGTCAAGGGACCAGGAAGCTGCAGAAGAAATAGGAAGAGGGCATCATTCTGTGATGGTGAATACGTAGAGAAGGGCTATTCACCTGGCAGCCTGCGGGCCTAATCTGGCTCGTGGAGGACTAGCAAGTGGCCTGCGGTTCATTGCCAGTTGTATTGAATTAATGATCTATGCCTGGGCTCAAGTGTCTGTCCGTGACGATCCTCATTGAAACATATTTGGCCTCTGGGTAAACTTAGTTAAAAACCCTGCCATAAGTGCTGCATCTTCATCATCAGCAGCCAGAGCTCCATTTCTTGTGGTGCCAGAAGCAGTTTGATTATATATCCGGCCGGCCTTTCCTCTGTACCATCCTCTCCATATAGAGAATGACTCATGTTCACACCAGGGTCCAGTTATTTTAATTGACTTCTTGCTAAAGATCAGTACTTTTTTTAATCACCTCTGAAGAGGTTGTGCCGTATTCTGTAAAATATGTCTTTCAGTATGGCGAGATATATATCACTCGTCTCATTTTTATTTGCTAGAGAGAAACCTCTTCTTCTTTCTTCACCAGCTGTAAGTCCTGGTTGTTTGTCCATTTGGACTTTGCCTTTGTGCCAGGGTCTGAATTTTGCATGTACATCCTTTTTACTGGCTTACTTGTGTGCTTGTTGTTGTTGTTATCGATCCAGCGGCGCATGAGCTTTCGCCCTTAGGCCCCTTACTTGTGTGCAGTTGGTTGTTCCCTGTAGCTAGAGCAGACGTCCGCCGACTTCGAAGGACGACTTCGAAGGACGTCTCTAGTTAGTTGACGCCTACAACATGCTTGTTGGCCAGGCAGTGGGTCTGTTTTTATTTTCACCACGATGGCACCCCAGAACCCACACAGGAAAGAGAAACCTTTTAATTCTCAGTCTCTTTACAACCTCTCTGTTTTTGTCTCCCTGAAGTCTTGAATGTCAGAGTAATGGAACAATGACAAATTAGAAAACAGTAGTATGAACATGACAGAAAAAGTAAATTTTTTTTGGGAGGTATAATTAAAAAAATTTTTTTTTTTTTTTTACAAATATGCAGACCAAAATGGCTTGAGGTGTAACGGGAATGAGTAACAGGAATGAGTAACAGGAATTAGTAACAGGAATGAGTAACAGGAATGAGTAACAGGAAAGAGTAACAGGAACGAATAACAGTAAATTGTGTTGAATTTTGTGTGTGAAATTCCCCATGTGGGTTCCAGGGCCCCATTGTGGGGGAAAACAAGAATAGGCTCACCGTCTCCCCAACAAGCATGTCATAGGAGTCGACTAATTGGGGACTTCCTTTAAAGTTGGAGTGCATCTACCCGAGTGGGGAAAAACCCCAGCTGCATATAAATAAGCCATTAAAACGGGTATACACGCAAAAATGGGGCGCTGCAAAACTGAGACCCTGGCACAAAGCCAAAGTCCAAATAGACGAACAACCAGGACTTTCCGCCAAATCTTGTAACTTGTTAATAAAGAGGAAAAAATAAGAAGTCTGTGAAATAGCTTGAGAAATAACAGGAATGAGTAAGAAAGGTTTTTGTGGTTGTTTTTGAAATGGCTTGAGAGATACCAGGTGTAAGTGAGAAGTTCTAATTGATTTGTTGTTGTTGTTATTATCCGTTGAAGAAAGGGAACACAGCGCTGCACATTGCCTCACTGGCTGGACATGAGGAGATTGTCCAGAAACTTGTGGAGAGTGGAGCCCAGGTCAATCTTCAGGCGCAGGTCAGTTGTGTCTTGTGGGCCAGGAGCCAGGCAGTGACATGTTTAGTGTCCTTCCTTCTGTGTCTGGTTTACTCTCTCTTTGCCTATCTCTCGCTCTGTCTGTCTCTCTTTGCCTATCTCTCTCTCTGTCTGTCTCTGCCTGTCTGTATCTCTCTCTCTGTCCGTCTCTCTCTTTGCCTATCTCTGTCTGTCTGTCTGTCTCTCTTTGCCTATCTCTCTGTCTGTCTGTCTCTGTCTGTCTGTTTCTCTCTGTGTCTGTCTGTCTCTCTTTGCCTGTCTCTCTCTCTTTGCCTATCTCTCTGTCTGTCTGTCTCTGTCTGTTTCTCTCTCTCTTTCTTTGCCTATCTGTCTGTCTGTCTGTCTGTCTGTCTGTCTGTCTGTCTGTCTGTCTGTCTGTCTGTCTGTCTGTCTGTCTGTCTGTCTGTCTGTTTCTCTCTCTCTGTATGTCTCTCTCTCTTTGCCTGTCTGTCTGTCTGTCTGTCTGTCTGTCTGTCTGTCTGTCTGTCTGTCTGTCTGTCTGTCTGTCTGTCTGTCTGTCTGTCTGTCTGTCTGTCTGTCTGTCTGTCTGTCTGTCTGTCTGTCTGTCTGTCTGTCTGTCTGTCTGTCTGTCTGTCTGTCTGTCTGTCTGTCTGTCTGTCTGTCTGTCTGTCTGTCTGTCTGTCTGTCTGTCTGTCTGTCTGTCTGTCTGTCTGTCTGTCTGTCTGTCTGTCTGTCTGTCTGTCTGTCTGTTTCTCTCTCTGTCTGTCTGTCTCTCTTTGCCTATCTTTCTCTCTTTGCCTATCTCTCTCTGTGTCTGTCTGTTTCTCTCTCTCTCTTTGCCTATCTCTCTCTCTGTCTGTCTCTGTCTGTTTCTCTCTCTCTGTCAGTCTGTTTCTCTCTCTTTGCCTATCTCTCTGTCTGTCTGTTTCTCTCTCTGTCTCTCTCTTTTTGCCTATCTCTCTCTGTCTGTCTGTCTGTCTCTCTCTCTTTGCCTATCTCTGTCTCTGTCTGTCTGTCTGATTCTATCCCTCTGTCTCTGTCTGTCTGTCTCTGTTTGTCTCTCTCTCTCTCTGTTTGTCTCTCTCTGTGGCTGTCTCTCTCTCTCTGTGTCTCTGTCTCTCTGTGTGTTGATATTTCTCTATGTCTGTCTCTTTGTGTCTCTCTCTCTGTCTCTGTCTCTCTGTGTGTCAATATCTCTCTATGTCTGTCTGTGTGTGTGTGTGTGTCTCTCTCTCCCCCTCTGTGTTGCTGTCTCTCTGTCTCTTTCTCTGTGTTTGTCTCTGTCTGTCTGCCCTCTGTCTCCCTCTGTCTTTCTTTTTCTCTGTCTGTCTGTCTGTCTCTCTGTGCCTGTCTGTCTGTCTGTCTCTCTGTCTTTCTCTGTCTCTGTCTCTGTCTCTGTCTGTCTCTCTCTCTCTCTTCTCTGTCTCTGTCTCTGTCTGTATGTTTCTGTCTCTCTCTGTGTCTTATCTCTGTCTCTGTCTCTCTCCCTTCCTCTCTCTTTTCATTTCCATAAAGAAAGATTCATTATGTTTTTTGGGGATCCCGTATGTGGTTTCCAGGACCTTATTTTGGGGAAAGTGGTGGGGGGGGGGGGGGAGGGGGGGGGGGGGGATGGGGGTGGACCCCTCCCAAACAAGAATTTTATAAAAGGTGACTTACTATGGGTGTTTCCTTCGAAGTAGGAGTACGTCTGCCTGAATAGTAACGAACCAACAGTCTGCATTACAAATAAGACAGATCTATAAAATGGATGTGCATGCAAAACTCAATTTGGAACAAGACCAACGATCAGAAGAGGATAAAAAAAACCAGAACTTTCTACCTGAGTTTACAGCCCCTGAATGCAAAGAAGTTTTTTTTTTTTTAAATTATAATTAGTTGAGTTTCTGTCCTGTGTTTTTCTGAGTATTAATTTGATTTTTTTTTTTCATGTGATGTGGAGAATTAGTTTAATTCATTTCCTGTTTTGTCTCAGAATTTTGTTTCCTGTTTTCTTTGAGAATTACTTTAGTCTTTTCATTTGTTTCAGAATTAGTTTAATTTCTGTGAAAACTTTTTATTTTTTTTTTAAATTATTGAAATGAGAGTTTGTTAGTTTATTTCTTGTTTTATATGAGAAGAGAATCAGTTTAATTTTATTTTCTGTTTAGTCTGAGAGGTTAATTTGTATTCTGTTTAGTATGAGAATTCAATTTTTTTCCCATTTTGTTTTAGAATGTTTACTTTTGATTCTATTTTGTCTCAGAAGTTTCTTTTGATTAATTCTTCTGAAGCCACATACTGACCTTTCTCCTTGGGCTGACTCAAGGAGATCAGAGCCGTTACGGTGATTCATGAAGACGATATGACCATATATGACCCACTGAACCTATATTAAGCATATCAAAGGATCAAGACTAAAGTCCTGGAGTGGACAAACAACAAAAACTTTCCTACAAAATTTACAGCCAATGAATGTGAAAAATGAAGAAGAGTAATTTGTTATGTTTGTTTCTTGTGATCCTCCAGGCTGGGTTTACCCCACTGTACATGGCATCCCAAGAGGGACATGCAGAAGTGGTCAAATATCTGTTGTCTAATGGAGCTAACCAGGGTCTGTCAACTGAGGTAGGGCAGCTCTCTTTGAGCCATCAAATAAGTTGCCTGTTAAAATAGAACATGAGATTAATCCTCCTTCTCCATCTTATCGTCATTATTGCCATCACCCCAGAGAACAGCTTTAATGTCTCCAAACTCCTTCTGTCTTGCACCTTTTGGTCCAGTCATGCGTTCTTTTTAGAATTAATATATTTTTCTTCTCCTTCCTTCAGCACATTTCCCTTCCAGTTTCTTTTCAGTGGATTCTTTGTGAGGCAGCTGCATCTGTATATTCCAGAGTACCTTAATTGTCAACCTTTTTCTCATTCAGTTTGAGCATTTTATTTTCAGTATAACTTTATGGATGGTCTCTTTATTGATTTTCCTGCTGTGATATTTTTCTTCTCATTAACATTTGGCTGAGTGAGTAACATTCAGCCTTACCAGGACTGCACAACAAGTGATAAACACTTAGTGTCACACACTTAGTGTCACAAAGTGCCACTATTCGAATGAGAAGTCCCAGAAACCCAGTTCAACCGTTAGGTTATATTATGGCTCCTGACTGGGCTGGGGTTTAAAATAAAAAAAAATAAAAATTTGTGTTTCACATTGGGCCGAGGCTCAACATTTGGCTGTGAATCCTGGACAATTAACAATAAACAAGCAACACCATTTATTGAAGCCTCACAGATGTGGTTTACAGAAGAGTGCTTTACATTCCTTGGACAGCCACATGTTTTAGAAAAGGTAAGATCCTGAAAGCAAAGGCAGCATTTTACAAAATGAAGAATATTTTATGCAATATTTCTTTGTCAGTTGAGACGAGAAAGAGAATTTTTAAATGTTATATTAATCCTATAGTGATATATGGATATGAATCATGGACAGTTAGCAAATTAGTGAAAACTCATTTGGAAGCTGCAGAGATGTGGTGACTCACGAAGAGAACTGATTGCTCACATCCAGAAAGAGGCAATCTACATACTTTGGTCATGTGATGAAAAGTAGAAAATAAAAAGTACATCATGACAGTAAAAAAGTTGGAGGGGAGGAGAGGCAGAGGGAGACTGAGAGAACAGATGCTGAACAGTTTGACATCATGGCATGGAGGATCATCTGTGTTAGAGTTGATTGAAAATACAAGAGACAGAAGGTTGTGGATACACATGACTACTAACATCACTCGGCATAGACTAAAGAAGAAGAAGATGAAGATCCTGAAGACAAAATGTCACAGACAGAAGAAGACGGTTGTCAATTTTTAGCCATAAAAACTGGTACATGTGGTAACTGTTGAAAAGATTTGTGATAAGAGAAACAAAGACGACATGACAAATTTTTGACAGCTTTTTATAATGACATGAAGGGGTGTCAGCAGCATATGAATTGAGACATGCTGTTGAAGATTGCAGGTTGTGGAGAGGCATGATCGCCCACACCAGTGAGCAAGGCACTTGATATTGTTAACATGTTGAAGCTGTTACTATTATTATGCTGAGAGAGGGAGGATGGGGACAACTAAAGAGGGAGGAGAGAGAGAAAGTGACAGGGAAAATGTGGAGGGAGGGGAGAAAAAAAAGAAAGAGGGAGGTGAGAAAGGAAGTTGGTAAATATTGAGGGAGGGAAGAAAAAGAAGAGCAAGAGTGGGAGAGAAATGAACAGGAACATTAAAAGAAGGGAGGGACAAAAGGAGAAAAAGGTAGGTATAGATATATAGTTGGTTAGTTAGTAAGTTAGTCGTTATGGTTTCGGCATCACAGCAAACGAGCTTAGCCCATAATTGCTCAACCACCTATGCCAGTGATTCCAGTCACAGACTGAGTCAGATACGCTGGATACGTCAAGTGAATGCCGTAGCCATACAAAGTGTCCCAGGTCAGCAAAACACACTCATTTTGATGTAGATAAATAAATATATAGTAAAAACTTGTACATTTCAGGATGGCTTCACCCCATTGGCTGTGGCTCTCCAGCAAGGTCATGACAAGGTCGTCTCCGTGCTCCTGGAACATGATGCCAAGGGAAAGGTCAGGCTGCCTGCTCTCCATATTGCTGCCAAAAAAGATGACGTCAAATCGGCTGCTCTCCTCTTGCAAAATGAGCAGAATTCTGTGGAGCTCCAAACAAAGGTACTACTTGTCTTATTTTAATTTTAAAAATGTGCGGGCATGCAAGCGTGTGCACTCGCCCTCTCCGCAGTGAAGATTAAGTGTTATGAACCTGCAACTGTCTTTGGAAATATTATACTGTGAAGCCTGAATTTCTTTCACAGTGTGACTCGTGCTAATGTCTAAAAGGTTCTTGTGTGTGTGTGGAAAACCATCTGCATAGGAATTGAACCCTAGTCCAGCGAGGATTTCCTTGTGAAATGATTTCACTAACATCTAAGCCACAGAATCACATGACGCATCGTAAACAGTGGAGACCGTTTCAGGCGAACTTGTTTTTGGCAAATGTTTGTTTGAAGAACAATTTGTTTATCCCCGGCAGTTTTTCTTTCTTGAATTCTTATCTGGATAAGAGGAATTTATCTGGATAAGAGGAATTTCTGATAAGAAGAACCATTTCCTGGATAACTGGTGAATTCTCCTTATCAGATCTGCACTGTGTTGACAGGTAGTTGAAATATTAATTTTTGTCGGTTCTTAAAAAAAGCTTTCTGTTCAGAGAAATAACAATTGTGCAAAATCATGAGTTAAGTTTTTTTCTTCTTCATCTTTATCTTTATCTTCATCACCATCATTGTCGCCATTGTTATTATCATCGTTGTTGTCATCTGCATTATCAAATGCTTTGCCCCACTGGCAAGAATCATGAACTTGACATCTGCAGCATCAATCACCGTGTAACAGTTTGTGTCTTGACAACCGTCCAATCAATGACAAATGTCTTCCTCTCTCAAGACATTTAAAAAGGCAGATATACATTAGATACAACATCTGGGCAGGTCAGATTTATTTTTTATGCTGGCCAAATGTAAAAAAAAGAAAAGAAAGAAAGTAGGACGAGGCGTTACCTTATGTGATGAAAGAAAACCCAACCATTGGTTGTGTTTATGCCTGTGCAGTGTTTTGGTGCTCAAGATATGAATATATTTACTAAAATAGCAATCTTGTGGGGGAAAAACTTGGCTATTTCAAAGCCTTGTCAACATCTTAACTCTTTATGTGGTCTTAGTGTTAGGTCTGACGAGGACATAGTGTGAATCACCAATATATATTTGTTTAGTCCCAGGGATACGTTCCAGTTAATTCCTCACTCCTCTGATGATTGATCAGTTGCTGTTGAGTCAAGAATTGGTATCACAGCACTTGGGGCATTCCCATATGAGCTCCATCCCTGTCTTCAGCAGCCAGCACAGAGTACCAGTACTAGTGGTGCTGGTCATAGTCTGGATATATGTCTGTCTTGCTTTTCCTCTGAGTGTAGTGTGTCTCGGCCGGACCCCCTGGTCACACCCGGGTGCATCATTCTCTCCAGGCCATAATAATCTAGTTTCTCTTCTGACTTATTACTTGTTCCCATAGGGCCATGATGTCAAATCTATGGACATGAATGTCCAGGCAATACTCTCCTTCATATTTTTTGGGTTAAATTACAAAAAAATGTGTGTGTGGTGAAAATGGGTATTTATGTAAAGATTTTGCCATGAGAATTTCTGGGTTCTTTACCCCTTTTTAGCGCCTCCATGATGAAAGGGTTGAAGTCACAACCTCTTCTGTCACATTTACAAGACTTTGGTCACAGCTAAATATAAAATATATTTCACCACATCTAGGTTTCATCACAACTGCAGTTAAAGTAGATCAGTGTCAACATTCAGTTTGATTGAACAAACAGAAACATTTCTACCCAAAAACTACAATAATTGTGATGAAAGCTACTGTGTTTGTACTGTAAGCGTGTCTGTCACAAGATAATAATTAGCTGCAACAATTTTCTCTGCTATGCATTTACCCAGGGAGGATTAGTCAATGACACAACAAAGGTTTGTTGTCAATGTTACTGACAGTCTCCAGCTATTTCATCGTTCATTTGCTGCATGTGTGCATGTGTTTTATTTGTAGACATTTTACACAATTCAGTAGCAAGGGTTTGACAAATGTATATTAGAAATATCCAAAACTGTTTTTTTTTTCTTCTACCTCTTTTTCTTCTGATAGTGTATAGGTCTTGATTTATGATCAGCAGAGCTGTTTAAATAGAGCATTAATACCCGGACAATCCTGTCAAGTTCATTGATATTCTGTCTCCCTCAGCAAATGTTGAATGGTATGGATGCTACTTATTTTATTTAGTGACCCCAACTGTTGTACATCAGAGTCACTCCCTTATAAAGTACTTATGTCTTCTTGTCCTGACATCCTGATTACCAGAAACTGACCAGCTTGCCGTCACAAACACAGAATTGATGATTCTGGGATTCCTTTTTAGTTCCTTCTTTTCTGCACCTAACACCTGTCATTGAATGTTTTCAGTGTATTTGCAGTTGTGTTTCGGACCTGTGTGGCTGTTTCAGTTAGATATTAGAGTTGCCGTTTTTAATTTATTGCTTGACGCTCATTACAAAATGCTATGCTGTGAAGGTACCCCAATGCCTTTTGTATTCATATTTTGTCATCTTATTATCTGTGCTGTTTCAACAATGTCACGTACCAACTTGCTCCACTTTTAAAACACTCTGCTATCCCAATAGACACAAAAATACAAATTATAAATACAATATTTATACCGACTTTAGCCTTCCAATGTCAGACTTGGACATTGACAAAAAAAAATGCGAAAGAAAACTAACCACCTTTGAGATGAGATGTTTGAGAATGGCTGTGATAAAACCAGAGGAGGTCAAGGTAGAAACGACATGATCATAAAAAATGCTAGAACAAACTGATCGTCAAATTTATTGAGAAACAAAAAATGAAATGGTTTGGCTATCTAATGAGAATGAAACCAACGATGCCAGGAGCAAGAGCGTACAACCTGAAAATCGAAATGCCTAAAGGCAGGGGAAGATTGAGAAGATGGGTTGAAGGAATCACTGACACTCTGAGAGGATATTGACAAAAGAAGAAGATTATCTGTGCTAATTAAAAATAAGGTAGGGGGAGGAGGAGACACATGTATGTGTAATATATATATATATATTTATATATATATATATATATATATATATATATATATATATATATATATATATATATATATATATATATATATATATATATATATATATATATATATATATATATATATATATATATATTTATATATATATATAAAATAAGGGAGCAACTATGTTCTAGTGGGCTTGAATGTCATGGGTTCAAATCCACACCCGGCCAGATTTTTTTCAAAAATAACTTGGGCTTCCAGGTTGACTCGGACCAAAATAGGTACCATATGTAATACACATAATGCATTATTCATCTGATTTTTTAAGTGATGGATTTGTGGTCAGACAGTTCAGCTTCTGAAACATGATCTTTTTCTGTGTAGAAGTATAGATGTACACATATACATTAATTTAGCATCACAGACCTATTCTAAGTATATTTTTTTAAAGTTGATTTCTTGATGTTACATTGTGTATATATTCCAACAATTATATTTTCCTGCTGTATTCAGCTCTTCTGTCTGACCAGGCATGCAATCTGCGGTAGTTCCATATATGCATGACTTTTTATTATTTTAATTTTATACGCTTCAGATTTGATCACATTGGCTTGATTATACCATCATCATTCTTTTTAAAAATCTTTGTTTTTTACACTATCATCACCACTGTCACTACTATCATCACCATTGCTACTATGGTCATTGCATGTTGATATTCACAGAACTGATTGGACCTGTATTTTTTTTCATCATGTTTGATGTGTTGGCTGCTCTCCTGTTCTCTTATAAATACATCTTTTGATTCTTCACATGCAGCATAAACCTTCTCCGATTGACAGTCACAAAACCTAGCAGACGTTTGCAGTTGGTTATGAATATCCCTGTATGGGGTCCAGGGCCCCAATTTTGGGGAGAATAGATCCACTGCCCCCTGATAACATGCATGTTGTAAAAGGTGACTGATAACCCCCTTCCCCACATCAGTGTGCATCTACTTGAGACGTGAGGAACCAGTAGTCTGCATGCAAATAAGCTCAATATGCAAAATGCAAGTTCTGGTGCATGATCAAACTTAGAAAGGGACAAACAATCTGCCAGAGTTTACAGCTGGTTAACATTAAGAAAAAAAAAAGGATATCAATAGCATATAGATTTGGGTTCGGGGGTGGGGGGGGGCATACGTTAAATAATTTCCTCCAGATTGTGTGTATAAGTAGTCACATAGCCTAGTATCATCAAAGTTTTGGGAGGAGCTGCAGGATCTTCTGTGTTCTTTGGAGTGCATTGTTTAAGTTGGTCTTCATGTAACAAAAAAATTATATGCTATCTCCACAGTGAAATGTGGGTGGCTACAGTGTTCCATGGCTGTCTTTGGAAGTGTTACTTGTTTCCTATTAGTACCAGGGCATTCTCCTCATTCTTGGCTAGATCATCTCATATGTGCCAATCCTGTGAATTGTTAACCTTAAACAGATCATTAGTGCGAAGCCTTATCAGTAGTGAGGGTTCTTTTGTAAGTTAAGCTCAGTATAGCTGAAGGAAGCAGTTTTTTTTTTAAAGGAATCATTGGGTTAGTTCTCCAATGTCTTTTAAAGGATAAGGATATGCAGCTTCATTTTTTGACTGATCAAACATAATGATGTCATTGTGTTTGTTTGTCTAGAGTGGCTTCACCCCCCTTCATATTGCTGCTCACTATGGGAACATCAATGTGGCCAAACTGTTGATTCAGCGTGGAGCAGACGTGAACTTCAAAGCTAAGGTAAGCTAGGCTGTCATGTGCAGGCAAGCCTGAAGACATCCTCATAAAAGAAGCGATTTGTAGCAAGGGTTTAGAGGTGTTTGTTTGTTAAATAGTGGAGTTATGCTGTTGAAAGTTGAAGGGAAAGGGAAACACTAGGAGAGGTTTAAGGATGCAATAAAAGGTGGAAGGAAAATAAAAGAATGAATGGATTATTAAAACAAGGGTGACCAAAAAAAACCCACAAAATAATAATATTGAAAACAATATTTTCCAAGTAGTGAATTTAAATAAAACGGACGCAAGCAATACAATGCGCAATTTATTGTCTTATGTATTTCGCCTCATCTCATCAGGTGTGTTACTGTAGAGTTACATCATATGACTATTGTGAACTTCCCGTGATGAGATAAATGCTGAATGGAGAGAGACTATTTGTTTTTCAGGAACAATTAACAAAAATCACTGCATCTCGTCAGGCGTGAGATTTATTATTTGCTCCCATTCATACCATGGCCGTTTCCACAGCCTGTCCTATGTACTAGGAGTGTCATGTTGTGTTATTTTCAGTGCTGTAAGAATTCTATATACCACGTGTGGATGGTCAGCCTGTTTTATTTTCCACATTGTGAGTAGTCGGCACTGGGGGTATGAGAGTATTGTGCTTTGGCTCTTCATCGCTATCACTGTTTTTTAGGGCTTGCCCTGAAATTCCACCAATTCTGAAACCAGTGATAGTTGCACAAGAGGTAGTTGACAGAGAAAATAAAGAAGACTAGCGTGCACACACACACACAGAGAGAGAGAGAGAGAGAGAGAGAGAGAGACTAACAGGGAGAGAGACAGAGGGATGGGTGGGGGGGGGGGGGAGAAAGAGAGAGAGGGGGCGGACGGATCCCCCCCCCCCCTCTTTCTCTCTCTCTCAGACAGGGCAGGCAGACAGACAGGGCAGGCAAACAGACAGACAGGGCAGGCAGACAGACAGGGCAGGCAGACAGGGCAGGCAGACAGACAGGGCAGGCAAACAGACAGACAGGGCAGGCAGACAGACAGGGCAGGCAAACAGACAGACAGGGCAGGCAGACAGACAGGGCAGACAGACAGGGAAGGCAGATCAAACAGACAGTCAGGACAGACAGACATGACAGACAGACAGACAGGGCAGGCAGACAGGGCAGGCAGACGGGGCAGGCAGACAGGACAAACAGAGAGGACAGACAGACAGGACAGACAGACAGGACAAGACAGAACAGGACAGGATAGACAGACAGACAGACACAGACAGACAGACAGACAGACAGACAGACAGACAGACAGACAGACAGACAGACAGACAGACAGACAGACAGACAGACAGACAGACAGACAGACAGACAGACAGACAGACAGACAGACAGACAGACAGACAGACAGACAGACAGACAGACAGACAGACAGACAGACAGACACACAGACACAGACAGACAGACAGACAGACAGACAGACAGACGGACAGACAGACAGAGAGAGAGAGACAGACAGACAGACAGACAGACAGAGAGAGAGAGACAGACAGACAGACAGACAGACAGACAGACAGACAGACAGACAGACAGACAGACAGACAGACAGACAGACAGACAGACAGACAGACAGACAGACAGACAGACAGACAGACAGACAGACAGACAGACAGACAGACAGACAGACAGACAGACAGACAGACAGACAGACAGACAGACAGACAGACAGACAGACAGACAGACAGACAGACAGACAGACAGACAGACAGACAGACAGACAGACAGACAGACAGACAGACAGACAGACAGACAGACAGACAGACAGACAGACAGACAGACAGACAGACAGACAGACAGACAGACAGACAGACAGACAGACAGACAGACAGACAGACAGACAGACAGACAGACAGACAGACAGACAGACAGATAGACAGACAGACAGGACATGACAGACAGAACAGGACAGACAGACAGGACAGACAGACAGACAGACAGACAGACAGACAGACAGACAGACAGACAGACAGACAGACAGACAGACAGACAGACAGACAGACAGACAGAGAGGACAGACAGACAGAGAGGACAGACAGACAGGGCAGACCCCACCAAAAAATATACCCTTTCGCTCACTGTCACCAGTCACGAAAGAGCTGCATACTTTCGTGTGAGGCCTTGAACGAATGGAAGCGGCTTCTGCGCACAGTGTTTATGGATGTTGAAGGGCGCTAGCACCCCTAGAACATAGGACAGCTTTTAGGAACAGCCATGGCATGAATGGGAGCCTTCACGAAATCTTGCGCCTGTGTGGGGATTTTCGTGACATGCACTGTGTTCCAGTTGACATTATTCCATTTTTAAGCTTCATTATATCTTGACGAAACAAGCTGACAAGATAAAATAATGAATGCCTGGCAAAAAAAAAAAAAAAAATAAAGCATTACCTTCTATCACACACTATGTAGTTCCTATGCAAGCTCCTAAGAAAAGTGGAGATAGGCACGATAAACTGAATTATTTAAATATGTAAAAGCGTTATCATGTACTTGCATGTTGACATCAACCCTACTGCTGCTCCTCCCCAGAACAATATTACTCCGCTGCATGTTGCCTCTCGCTGGGGGAAGCTCAACATGGTGAAACTGTTGCTGGAAAACAACGCAAACATTGATGAGAAGACCAGAGTAAGTTGTATCCCTTTACATTGATTGATTTCAGACGCTCAGGATTGTTTAGATAATTGATTGAATCCCTTAACTACACTGAAAAGGTTGGTGGCCGATTATGTTCGGAATGGTGTGTATTTTTGTGGTTGCAAAAAGTCACGATTGTTTGTGCCAACAGTGAGCTGCTATTCTGGGGTGAGACAGTTGGTGTGGGACAGTTGGCGTTGGCATATCTTACAGCTGCCTTCTGCATTTTTTACTTTGCATATGCGAGGACTGACACGTTTTTCATTAGTTTTTACATGGGGCAGTGGACATGCATGCATTTTGTATGATTTTCACTGGCACAGGAAAGTAAGTTATCGGCGACAAATCTGCAGTGAAGTGGAACCGTGACTAGCTAAAAGAATGTTGGATGTTGAGACCTTCATTGTAGGCTATCCCATTTTAAGAATGGATTAAATTTCTAGGAAAATGAGAGTGATATTGCTTTCTGGGTGAACAGTGTTTTATGACTGAAATATCTGCTTCACTTTGGGGATTAAAGCAGTTAGGATTGTGCAAGGATGTTGCAATATTTTCTGTGTGTCTCTCTTTCTTACCCTGTCTGTCTGTCTGTCTGTCTGTCTGTCTGTCTGTCTGTCTGTCTGTCTGTCTGTCTGTCTGTCTGTCTGTCTGTCTGTCTGTCTGTCTGTCTGTCTGTCTGTCTGTCTGTCTGTCTGTCTGTCTGTCTGTCTGTCTGTCTGTCTGTCTGTCTGTCTGTCTGTCTGTCTGTCTGTCTGTCTGTCTGTCTGTCTGTCTGTGTCTGTCTGTCTGTCTGTCTGTCTGTCTGTCTGTCTGTCTGTCTGTCTGTCTGTCTGTCTGTCTGTCTGTCTGTCTGTCTGTGTCTGTCTGTGTCTGTCTGTCTGTCTGTCTGTCTGTCTGTCTGTGTCTGTCTGCCTGCCTGCCTGTCTGTCTGTCTGTCTCTCACTCTGTCTGTCTCTCACTCTGTCTGTCTCTCACTCTGTCTGTCTGTCTGTCTCTCACTCTGTCTGTCTCTCACTCTGTATGTCTGTCTCTCACTCTGTCTTTCTCTCTGTCTGTCTGTCTCACTCTGTCTGTCTCTCACTCTGTCTGTCTGTCTGTCTGTCTGTCTGTCTGTCTGTCTGTCTGTCTGTCTGTCTGTCTGTCTGTGCCTGCCTGCCTGCCTGCCTCTGCACTCTGTCTGTCTGTCTGTCTGCCTGCCTGCCTGCCTGCCTGCCTGCCTGCCTGCCTGTCTGTGTGTCTGTCTGTCTGTCTGTCTGTTTCTTGTCTTTCTCTGCATAATGCTGTAAGGCATTGCAGGCATGGCTGATGGTCGGTTTCCAGGATAGTGTGTGCTGGGTAGCTTGCTGCATAGTGATATTGTTAATTTTTTTCAGCAAGTTGTTAACTCCATCCTTCCATCTTCTTCTTAGCCTTCCTCGCCGCCTCTTGATGTTTCCATTCTCATGTTATATGCTCTTGCAACCAGTGACGCTGGGTTCATTCTCACCAGGTTGCCTAAACCATTTTCAGTCTTTGGTTTTCAATAAATCTAATTACAGTGTTATTCCCACCTTTCTAATGATATCTTTTTTATGGTCTCTTCTTGTTGTGTTGACTGCTTTTCTCAAACATCTCATTTCACAGGTCCTTAGTTCTGGCTCTTGTTCTTGTTCTTTTATTAGTGCCCAGGTTTTTCATTAGTAACACAAGGTTGGTGAACATATTGTATTTAGGGGGGTTGAGTGGCCTTGAGGTATGGCATCTGCCTCAAGTGGTGGAGGTCTCGGGTTCAAACCCCGATGAAGGCTGGGATTTTTTCACATGTACTTCTAGAAATTTCCCCTGGTCTCTGGGTAGTATGACCGGAGCCCATTGTTGCATACGTAAAAAAATACCTTGGCAGTTGGAGATTGAAAAACAGTAGCCTACTGGCGCTGCCTGGACAAAATTAAAAAAATTAAAAATCTACCTAAAGTATTTCAGGATCCTCGCTGGTGCAATGGAGTTCATGCACTGCGCTGAGAATCTTCAAACTCAGGCTTGACTTAGAAGTAGAACAGAGCACTTACGGGTTACATCCATGTACCATAATGGTGAATCGTTGAATAAACATAAACATATTGCGTTTATCAATTTGTTTGTCAACTTGCTTTCTTTCAGGATGGGCTGACCCCACTTCATTGTGCAGCCAGAAGTGGACACGATGCTGTAGTGGATGCACTGCTTGAAGCTGGTGCTCCTAATTCAGCCAAAACAAAGGTGAGCTCTCCTGTTCTGAGAGATTTGTATCACACTTTCATCTCGTAACTTAGCTGTTGTTATGACCTGCCAACTCTACTGACAGCTTCAAAAAGCACCTGGCCTTAAGAGCAAAGTGTGCAGAGCAAGCTATTTGGAACCATAAAGGACCTGCTAATGACATGTGAGTTCATAGAGGCAATCCACCAGATGGTCTTGATATTAACATATGAAACCGAACGCTAAGAAATAGAAAAGTTTGCTTTAAAGTTAAAATAGAGCTAATCAACTTTCTTACCCTGAATTATTCCATATAAGCTCAGTTTTCTCCTTAGAAAGGCTAGTTGCTTGCTGAGAAAGTCATAAAAAGCATGAACTCCGCAGCTTCAGTGACGATTTCCAGGTATCTCTGTAAAAATTGTCTTCAGGTACTGAATGCCACATTGTGAAACAAATCCATACAACCTTTAGATGCGATGTCAATAGGTGGCCTATCTACTCTTTGTTCACCTGCTTAGTTTGTGTTAGTTTGACCAGGGAAAGAGATGTTGGATGGTTTGACATCATGTCGTGTATGTCAGAAGGGCTGGAGGTCCAGGATTCAAACCCCGGTGAAGGCTGGGATCTTTTCATGTAGACTTTCAGTAATTTTACCTGGTCTCTGGGTAGTAAGACCTGAGCCCGTGTGTATTGTTGGGTACATAACAAAAATATATTGGCAGTTGGAAATTGAAAAAGAATAGCCTAATGGCACTGCCAGGGCAAAAATTGTGAGTTAAAAATCTACCAAAAGTGTTTCTGTCTGTCAGAATTGATTGAAAGTTCACGAGACAGAGGGTTGTTGAAAGGCATGACTACCAACACCACATGTTATGGACTATAAGAAGAAAAAAGAAGACGTTTTCAGCAAAAAGTCCTGGTTGTTCATCCATTTCTTGACCGGCTTTGTTCCTAAATTTTTTATGTGCATCCATTTGACAGATCTGGCTTTTGTGGGTGTGTGCAGACTGTTGGTTTTTCACCTCTTAGGCGGATATACTCTGATTTCAAAGGAAATGCCCCATATTAGTTGTCTCCTAAGACATGCTTGTTAGGGAGGCAGTGGGTCTATTCTTTTTCCCCCATAATAGAGCCCTGGAACCCACACAAGGAGTTGCAGTGTGAATGAAAGAATATCAGGGATGAAATCAAGGCAGGCTTTAGAAAATCATTAGATAGGGTTAATACAGCCAACATAGATCATTCTAATCATGTGGAAGTGCAGACATCAGATAAAGAAATTCACACCCCCTCATTAAAAACGAACTACTATTTGCTGATGACCAGTGCTTGTTCTACAGTGAAGAAGATAGACTGCAAGGCCACATTAACAGATTAAGCTCAGCATGCGGTAAATACAACATGAAGATCAATGCAAACAAAAGTGAAACAATGCAAGTTAATAGAACCCCTTTCCAACTACATATACAGCTGAATGGTTCTGGCCTGAAACAAGTTAGGGAATTAACATATCTAGGAAGTGTGGTCACAGAAGATGGCAGAATTGACAGAGAAATGGAAACCAAGTGTCCAAAAGCAAGTACATTTATTTACCAATTGTCACCATTATTAAGACATCCAAACGTAACTATGAATGCAAAGAGACAGCATAAACAGCATAATCATTTCAGCATTAAGCTACCAGTACCTAATATGGACATTATATAAAGCTCATGTATGCACAATCACCACCTGCGAGATGAGATGCCTGAGAAGAGCCGCCAACCTAACCATCAGAGATCGAGTGAATAATGATAGTATTGGTCAGATTATTTGAATGACACAATGTACTAGATTCCTCCAGAAACAGCAGATCAAGTGGTTTGGCCATATCGTTAGAATGCAGCAACATCAAATACCATCATAAGCACTACATCTCAGAAGATCAGCTACAAGAGCAAGAGGACAGCCTCAAAAATACAGATCAACAGCATTCAAGACACTTTACACCTCCACTGCATGACAAAAGCCAATGTCAACCAGCATGCACTGGATCACAAATGATTTCTTGCCACGACGCTGAATGGCAGAATTGTTTTATGATGATGATGATGATTAAATCGGGTTAAGTTAAATTATTAGGTAGTTTAGAATAAACGTAAGCAATGTCACAAGATAGGACTCAACAGAATCTTCAGCCATACCTATAAAGGAGGTTTAGGAATGGGTGTTCAGAGCTTGGCCCAATGTGGACAACTGAACATGTGCTACAGACATGTTGTCTTTATGCAGTCAAGAGATCCCGGGTTTGTCCAGTTGGCGTTCCAGTGGAACAGTGAAAGACATGTGTCGCACCAAAGACATCATAGAGGCCTGTGACCTTCTCATCTTAAAACCACTGACAGGGAGATCGAGAAGAAGACGAAGATTGGAAAGGTTGAAGTAAAATAATGAACAAGTGTAAGAAGAAAAGGCATAATTAAAATCACAAGATGGGTATAAGTAAAATTATTAAGTAGTTTTAGAAGAGTAGCATAAGTCAAATCACTCGGTAGAATCAACACTTGAACTAATGTAGTTTTTTTCTAGCAGTATTAATAATGAACAAAGAAGATTAAATAAGGGGAAAAGTAAGATATTGAAAGAAAAAAAGTGTAACTCTGTTAGTATTAGAAGAAGATTTCATAGAACATGCCAGTGAATAAATATCCACGATTAAATCTTTTCATTCATAACTTTCAAAACAAAACAATAACAGTAGAAGTAAATGACTGTTGAATGAGCCAGATTTCTTGAGCATGCTCTGACCAAATACGAAAAGTAAGAGAACATACTAAGCTTGGAGGAGGATTTAGTAATTTACACATCATGCTTTGTTTGGGACTCAGAGAGTTAGTAATAGCAATTTTTATCTATGGGTGTTTACTAATATTTAGAGTTACTAATAATATGCAGGTCTCTGGCTTCAGTTGTCAAGTTAACTACTGTTTCCATCAAAGTAGAACGACAATGACATGCAATACAACCTGGATTTAAGTGAGGAAGATGTTTACAGTGAACAGAACTTACTGTCTTGTCTGTGTTCATCTTGATCCAACAGCCAGACAGTGTTGAAATGGCTGAAGATGGACCCAAGTTCAGTGGAAGATGACTTTCATGCCTTGCCAAAATTCTCCAATGAATGCAGAGATGGTTGTCTTTGTTGAACTATGTGGGGTTTCATTTACACAGTCCCCAGAGTCCCTACTTTACAGGTTGAATCATATAATATTGTTGTGTTTATTCACAGAACAGTTCACTTGCTTCTGTAGTAACATGCTTCATTGATAAAATACAGTTAGTCTGAAAGATGAATGTTTGGAAGGGCGAATGGAGGACATGCCTGTTTGCCCAACATGTGACCAATTGAAAATAGTTTCTTGATTCTTTCACTCACAAAATAAAGTTCTGATATTTCACAGAATGGCTTCACCCCACTTCACATTGCCTGCAAGAAGAACCGCATCAAGATTGTTGAGCTGCTTCTCAAGTACGGCGCTTCCATAGAAAGCAAAACAGAGGTTGGTTTAGTTATACAGATCATGTTATATTTCAGTGTCTTCTAAAAGGACCCTTTAGGCGTATTAGGCATATATGGCTAGACCTGTATTTTATAGACCAATCAGCACTTTGTGGATGATGTGGTCAACTTCACGCCGACCGCCTTTACTTTCCAGGGCTTTTACCTGGTACCCATTTAAGTTTGGGTCAACCTGAAAGCCAAGGTCATTTAAAAAAAAAAAAAAAAAAAAAATAGTCTAGCACTGTCCAGATGACGTTCAGATCTGCAGGTGAGCATCTAGCCACTACACCATGACGCCTCCTATAGTTTAGTGTAAGTTGACCAGTAACTTTTAAGAACAGTGTTAGAATGAATCCTTTGATATATTAATGATGAACATAGTGTGAAGAATGACCTTAGTTTGTTATGAGCTGAAAATGTAATAATGTTTTATCAGTTTTGAGTTATACTGTTTGTGTTGGCACTTCTAGCAGCTGTCTTATGCATGTCTATGCTATTGGCTTGGTTGAGTCTGCAGTCTGTGTTAATTTTATTACAAGGGACAGTTATTGGGATGACCCATTTACTATGAAGTCGTAACTGCGAATACCTGATTACCCATGATCTCAATATGTCTTGTTTGTTTCCTGGTACATTGCAGTCTGGCCTAACTCCCCTGCATGTGGCATCTTTCATGGGACACATGAACATTGTCATCTACCTGATCCAGCACAATGCCAACCCCAACACAACCACTGTCCGTGGTGAGACATCACTCCACCTGGCTGCTCGTGCCAACCAGTCGGATATCATCCGCATCCTGTTGAGAAATGGTGCTACTGTGGATGCCAGAGCTAGGGTAAAGTATTGTAAATATCTTGAATGCCCTTGGGAGTTTGTTACATGACATTATTTTCTGTAGTTCATTGATTATGTGATTCATAAGGTATTTCTTTGCTCTCACTTTTTGTAGTTGTCCATCCATCATGAGTGATGAAGACCACTCTTTATTTCATCCATCATGAAACTATAGTTGATTGTTTGTAGTGCAGATACGACTTATTCTTCTTCTTCTTTACGTCCTCTTTTACTGCTTTGGGTGTTGAGGGAGATATAAAGTCCTGCTTCGTGCTCTTCTGGCTGCTTCGACTATAGACACATCGTGGTGCTGTAGAGTTTCTCTGATGTTATCTTCCCATATTGTTCTTGGTCTACATCTTGCTCTATGTCCCTCTCCTCTTTTGGTATGTGTCTTGTACGGTATAGCATTAGAAGGCATTCTCTCTAAGTGGACAAACCATTTGATTTGTCGCCTTTGTGTGTATAATTTAGAATTGGTTCTGTGCTGACTTTATCTTGTATGACCTCATTCATGATTTTATCTTTTCTGGTCACTCCTACAGTCTTTCTCAGACACCTCATTTCCATGGTTACTAATTTTCTTGTGTGTTTTGTTGTGAGAAAAGATCTAAAGTATGCACTGCCCATGACCTTCCCAGTGAAGCTTGCCACTCTGCTTAAAGCATTCCTATTTTGCACCTTTCTCAGCATGATTTCAGTCTGTTACAGATTTGTTTTGTGTATGCATCTTATTCTCTAGCCACCAGAAAGCTGCAGTGACCGCCTCCTTCTCCATTCTCATGTTAGATGTTGTGGTATTATATGCTAGGCTGTCCTGCACTAAAGATTTCCATTGGCTTTCGCTACGAACCCCCAGGCACTTTTCTTCCCTCTCAACACCGAACCATCTGTACAGATAATCAAATCACTTGGACTTCCAGCTCTGCAGCACCCGCTGGCCACTTTCTTCACTCCCGGTCCAGTGTGAAATAACCCTACACAGGTCAGACTTTTCCTCTGGTACCCTGACCCACTCCTCTCCTCATACAATGTTCTCCAATATGCATACTTGTCTTATTGTGTCATCTGCTTGAGCCATCCATGATTTCCCCCTTTTCAATCTCCGACCCTTACCTGCAGCTAGAGCTTCATGCAGAAGGTGTTCTTTGTCTGCAGCTACTCATTGATATAGGAGAATTGGAAGTCACACCTGTTTGGTACTGAAAGCATCAAAAGACAGACAACTTTAAAAACCATACAGAGGGTAGAGCTAGAGCTAAGTAAGCAAACGGCGACAGCGATACAACTGATATGCTAACATCAGTTTAGAAGACAGACAACTTTAAAAACCATACGGAGGTTTAGAGCTAGAGCTAAGTAAGCAAACGGCGACAGCGATACAACTGATATGCTAAATCAGTTTTAGAAGACAGAAACTTTAAAAACCATACGGAGGGTAGAGCTAGAGCTAAGTAAGCAAACGGCGACAGCGATACAACTGATATGCTAACATCAGTTTAGAAGACAGACAACTTTAAAAACCATACGGAGGGTAGAGCTAGAGCTAAGTAAGCAAACGGCGACAGCGATACAACTGATATGCTAACATCAGTTTAGAAGACAGACAACTTTAAAAACCATACGGAGGGTAGAGCTAGAGCTAAGTAAGCAAACGGCGACAGCGATACAACTGATATGCTAACATCAGTTTAGAATAACAGAGTGTAAAATAGAGGAGGTACTTAAGCCCATTGCAGCCAGCCCTAATTGTAGAAGTGACACCCAAATGATTGAATTGATGATGATTATGACGATATTGATGATGATTATGACGATATTGATGATGATTGTGATGATATTGATGATGATTTTGACGATATTGATGATGATTATGACGATATTGATGATGATAATGATGATATTGATGATGATTGTGACGATATTGATGATGATTATGACGATATTGATGATGATTATGACAATATTGATGATGATTGTGACTTGACTTGAAGATAATTAAAACTGCCATTGCTGCGGGTATTTACCAGTTTTGCTGTGTAAGCATGGGGGTCTTTGAGCCTGAATATTTAGGGCTGAATGGCTAGTGCTGTTGCCACAGACTGTGCAGGTTAGGATTTCATTTGACCTGGGTCTTTTGTATGAGAGCCCTGCACTCTTAATCGTTCAGCAGCTGCTTTACCTCTTTCAGTCGCAGCTAATTCCACAGCAGAAGCTATGTCTGGCACAAAAATGACATTAAACGTAACATTGTTATCACTTTCACAGTTATAACTTACACTGTATTTTAACATATTAGGCCAGATTTCTTTGGCACACCCAGACCAAACATGAAAGTTGTAATAATACTCAAAGTGTTGCCTGGTATACGGAAACATTAGCAGATCACACATTGTGCAGTGCTTGGGACAAAAATAGTTAATAAAAGATCATTAAAGTCGAACTGAAACTGAATGAGACTGAAACTGAATGAGACTGAAACTGAATATGGACCTCTGTGCTATGTATACAGGAGCAGCAAACCCCACTGCACATTGCTGCCCGCCTGGGGAATGTTGACAACGTTGTTCTGCTGCTGCAGCACGGAGCGGTTGTGGATGCTGCTACCAAGGACAAGTACACACCATTGCACATTGCAGCCAAAGAGGGCCATGATGAGGTGGCCCAGGTCCTGCTGGAGCATGAGGCTCAGCATGATGTCACTACCAAGGTAAGTATCTCAATGACTTCTTTTTCTTACCTTTGTCTTCCATTGGAGCATGAGGCTCAGAATGTCACTACTAAGGTGTCTCAATGACTTCTTCTTACCTTTGTCTCCTATTGGACCATGAGGTTTAGAATGTCACTACTAAGATGTCTCAATGACTTCTTCTTACCTTTGTCTCCCATTGGACCATGAGGTTCAGAATGTCACTACTAAGATGTCTCAATGACTTCTTCTTACCTTTGTCTCCTATTGGACCATGAGGTTTAGAATGTCACTACTAAGATGTCTCAATGACTTCTTCTTACCTTTGTCTCCCATTGGACCATGAGGCTCAGAATGTCACTACTAAGATGTCTCAATGACTTCTTCTTACCTTTGTCTCCTATTGGACCATGAGGTTTAGAATGTCACTACTAAGATGTCTCAGTGACATTCTTCTTACCTTTGTCTCCCATTGGAGCATGAGGCTCAGAATGTCACTACTAAGATGTCTCAGTGACTTCTTCTTACCTTTGTCTCCCATTGGACCATGAGGTTCAGAATGTCACTACTAAGGTGTCTCAATGACTTCTTTTTACCTTTGTCTCCCATTGGACGATGAGGTTCAGAATGTCACTACTAAGATGTCTCAGTGACTTCTTCTTACCTTTGTCTCCCATTGGACCATGAGGTTCAGAATGTCACTACTAAGATGTCTCAATGACTTCTTCTTACCTTTGTCTCCCATTGGAGCATGAGGCTCAGAATGTCACTACTAAGGTGTCTCAATGACTTCTTCTTACCTTTGTCTCCCATTGGACGATGAGGTTCAGAATGTCACTACTAAGGTGTCTCAGTGACTTCTTCTTACCTTTGTCTCCCATTGGACCATGAGGTTCAGAATGTCACTACTAAGATGTCTCAATGACTTCTTCTTACCTTTGTCTCCCATTGGACCATGAGGTTCAGAATGTCACTACTAAGATGTCTCAATGACTTCTTCTTACCTTTGTCTCCCATTGGACCATGAGGTTCAGAATGTCACTACTAAGATGTCTCAATGACTTCTTCTTACCTTTGTCTCCCATTGGACCATGAGGTTCAGAATGTCACTACTAAGATGTCTCAATGACTTCTTCTTCTTACCTTTGTCTCCCATTGGACCATGAGGTTCAGAATGTCACTACTAAGATGTCTCAATGACTTCTTCTTACCTTTGTCTCCCATTGGACCATGAGGTTCAGAATGTCACTACTAAGATGTCTCAATGACTTCTTCTTACCTTTGTCTCCCATTGGACCATGAGGTTCAGAATGTCACTACTAAGATGTCTCAATGACTTCTTCTTACCTTTGTCTCCCATTGGACCATGAGGTTCAGAATGTCACTACTAAGATGTCTCAATGACTTCTTCTTACCTTTGTCTCCCATTGGACCATGAGGTTCAGAATGTCACTACTAAGATGTCTCAATGACTTCTTCTTACCTTTGTCTCCCATTGGACCATGAGGTTCAGAATGTCACTACTAAGATGTCTCAATGACTTCTTCTTACCTTTGTCTCCCATTGGACCATGAGGTTCAGAATGTCACTACTAAGATGTCTCAATGACTTCTTCTTCTTACCTTTGTCTCCCATTGGACCATGAGGTTCAGAATGTCACTACTAAGATGTCTCAATGACTTCTTTTTACCTTTGTCTCCCATTGGACCATGAGGTTCAGAATGTCACTACTAAGATGTCTCAATGACTTCTTCTTACCTTTGTCTCCCATTGGACCATCAGGCTCAGAATGTCACTACTACCTAAAGTCCTAATTCAAGAGGATTAGCTTCATTGCCCTTGGTTATCCTATTTGGTGTGGTCTCTCTCCGCAGAATGGCTAGCCACCTGCTGAGATTCACACAAAGCATGAACTCTGTAGCTCAAGTGATGAAACTGCACTTGTGAACAGAACAATACATTTCATAAAATAAACCTGTGACCCGCAGAGCGCAAGGCAAACCTTTTTCACAGGGACCCTTGAGATAAGTGTCTCTGTGACTTCTGTTTTTTTATCCCCCAGTGGCTTGAGGCTAAGCATGTCATACCCAAGCATTAACGATGCATTTCATAATTATGTCCTGTTTGGTATATGTCCCGACCGGCGATGAAGTCGACTACTGGCCAGGCAGTGGGCGACCAGGTGGCTGATGAAGGATCTGGAACAGTTTAAGGACACATACTGAAGTACCATTGTACGTTAATATTTTTATATGTAAGCATTTTACATCGTATGCTTTAACAATTACCCCTCTTTTTCACAGAAAGGATTCACTCCACTGCATATTGCAGCCAAGTATGGAAACATCAAGGTTGCCAATCTGTTGCTGCAGAAAGATGCTAACCCCAATGTGAAAGGCAAGAATGGGCTGACCCCACTGCATGTGGCCACTCACTACAACCATGCCAACGTGGCACAATTGTTGCTGGAGAATAAGGCAGACCCACATGCCACTGCCAAGGTAGACAGACCTCTTCCGGCTTGTCCTACTTTTAAAAAAGCTCAGTTGTCTCTGTTTTTTCTCTCTAAATCAGTGGTTCTCAACCTTCCTAATGCCGCAACCCTTTAATAAGTTCCCTCTTCTTGTGGTGACCCACAAACAATTATTTTCCATCATAACTTCAATGAATATGTGGTTTCTGATGGTCATAGGCGACCCATACGAAAGGGTCACAACCCACACAAAAAAGAGAGTTGTGACCGGCAGGTTGAGAACCGCTGCTCTAAATGATGTCCAGGTTTTTGCTTCATACAACACTGATAGGTTAAAGTATAGTACTGTTAGTTCTTTGCTGCTTGACTTACGGGCTCTGATAAATAAGGGCAAATTAAAACTTGTAAAAATGACCTTGGCTCCCAGGTCGACCCAGCCTTGAGTGGGTACCGGGTGCAATCCCGGGAAGTAAAGGCGGCGGGCGTGATGCTGACCACACATCACCCATCTTGTGCCGATTGGTCTATTAAAATATAGGTCTAGCCTTAAATGCCCTATACGCCTAAAGGCATGGAAAAGGGTCCTTTACTTTCTTTTTTACTTTAAAAGTTGTAAATATATTTTTTTAGTTACTATTATCAGTTTTTTGGCTTTAGCTAAGGGTTACCATTCAGGTTGCTGTTTTGAATGTATCGCTTCTTCGTATTCACTGGCTGGAAACTCTGGCTGAAAACTCCAGCAGCAAATTCTGGTTGTTCATCCACTTCTGGACTTTAGTCTTGTTCCAGAGTTTGAGTGAACGTTCTTTTTTTTTTTTTTTTTACAGATCTGGCTTATCTGTGTGCAGACTTTTGGTTACTTGCATCTCAAGCAGATGCATTCCAACTTTGAAGGAAACACCCAAAATTAGTTGCCTTCTAGGACATGCTTGTCAGGAAGGCAGTGGGCCTATTCTGTGTTCTCCAAAATGGAGCCCCATAACCCACAAGGGGATGTACTTAATTCAATGTTAGTCACACATTAGGTTGTTCTCTAGCCCAGCTTGAGAAATCATCTGTGGCCACACTGAAGACTGGGGAGGTAAACAAAGTTAAAAATATTAATGTCCTAGTGTGAGTGAAATGTGGGATTAACATCTTCTCTTTTGCTTCTTTGCGTTCACTAGCTGTAAACTCCAGTGGAAAGTTCTGGTTGTTCATCCACCTCTGGACTTTAGTCTTGCTCACAGAACCTGAGTTTTGCATGCAAATGTGAAGTACTAATCTGGCTTATTTGTATAGAGACAGTTGATTCCTTGCCTCACAGGCAGATGCACTTTGACTTCGAAGGAAACATCCTTAACTAGTCATCTCGTAAGACATGCTTGCTAGGGGACAGTGGGTCTGTTTTGTTTGTCCCCACAAAGGGGTGGGGGAGAGGGGAGGTGTAAAATCCACACAATGTTTTAGAGTTTACTCTGCAAGTAAGTAAATGACTCTTTTCATGTCTGTACCGTGGCGCGGTGATTTATGTCACAGGCGTGAGGGGAAGTTAAGTCCAACATGATGTGTATAAGGAGATACTCCGTACGTCACTCGGGCGCCAGTCCTTTACTATCCTGGTTGTACGGAACCTCACGCAAGACCCCTACAGCACGTCCTCGTCGTGCGCCACGGATAATGTCTCAAATGAGCATTAACAGAGCTGTCAGGGGATCTCGGAGTTTGGCGGCCCCCAGAGGTGATGTGTCCTTGTGGCTCTCATCAGCCCGCCCCCCAAACGCTTGGGTGAAAAATGTTATCAAAACTCACCAGGAACATGAGTAGGTTTGACAAAAGTACAGCTAAAATTACAACCCTTGGTTAAAAGACTGCTGAGTAAAGAGAACATTGCTCATCGCTCATCCTCGGTTAATTCTCAGTGTCGTCGTCACCGCGCTGAGGTGCAACACAACAGAAACCATACATGGGCTGGCCATCCTTGTGCATCCTCGGTTGGCCCTCAGTGTCGTCGTCACCGCGCTGAGGTGCACCACAACAGCAACCATCCATAGGCTGGCCAGTCACGTACATCCTCGGTTAACCCTCAGTGTCGTCGTCACCGCACTGTGGTACACCACAACAGCAACCATCCATCGGATGGCTAAGCCTAAATGTCCGACAAAACTAGATCATACGGATCAAAATCTGACCATCAAAATTTGCACTGAACTGAAAAAGGCCGAATGTCCACACCCAAAGACCCCACTCGCCCGAGTGTTGGGACAAAACTGATAACGATAGGCCTGATTCAGGATGTGAAATTCTGTCGGGCTAATGTACCTATCTGTGTGGTCACAAAAGTCCAAAACCCACGGGCTGCTCCCCGCTGACTTCCAGAGGGCGCAGCCCCTGTCGAGCGGGAGGCCTGATACGGTTGTGAGGTTAAGCAGGCATGTGCAGGACGTGACGATTCCTTGGGCGAGCCCAGAACCAGAGCGCCATGTGCCGGCTCTGCATGCATGGAAGCCTCCTTGGATGGCGGGGAATGCCCATGATCTGCCCCTGCCTTCCCTTGAGGGCCAACTGTTCCACAGGGGGCTGCCCCAAAGGGGTACTCCGGGGGCAATACCTGCGGCGAAGGAGACGAGGCGGACACCACACAAATCAGGCAAAGTCTCGACCCACACAAAACAATGGCCACAGTCACCCTAGAAATAGGCCTGACGTCTTCCTTCGAAGTCGGCGTACAGCTGCCCAAGAGGCAGGGAAATGAAAAACGGTTGTACACTCAAAAATCAGGTCCAGGTGAAAGCCAAAAGTCCAAGCGGACGATTAACCGGGACCTTCCACTGGAATTGACAGCCGGTGTTCGATGAAAAAAAAAAAAAAAAAAAAAAATGTCTGTACAGTACTGGGTCAATGGTTATGATGCTGGACGCACACTTTCAAAACCAATCAGCATCAGTTGGTGATGTGGTCAACTTTTCACAACAGGCAGTTTTTACTTCCCTGGACATTTCCCTGATACATGCGTACTGTTATATATAATAAACATGTATTGATCGGCACCAGCTTTTTACAGCATAACATCTGGAAAGAATGGGAGGGGAAGACAAAGAAAGAAATGGATAAATGGTGCAGTGGAAACCTGGAAAAAAGGGCGAACAATTCCACCATCCAAGCCACCCAAGAAGTGCAAGACAAATCTAGAGAACCCACGACACTAAGCTACAACCTGATATCAATCAGTGAGATGACAGAAGAAGGACAAGAAGATTGGCACATAGAAATAAGTAGAAAGATAGTAATTAAAGGCCCCTTTACCACGCCTTTAGGCTTATTGGAAGTATAGGGCTAGACCTATATTTTTTTAATAGACCAATCGTCACTGGGTGGGTGATGTGGTCAGCATCACGCCGGCTGAGAAATATAGGACACAGTAAAGTTAGTTGCATGTCTCCTTTAACTCTTTGAGCCCCAGGGGCATCATACGTTCATAGGTCTTACCTAGAAGCCCAATAAACGCATGATGTGTCCATTTTAGTCTCTCTTTACTACCCATTGGGCCTGTGATGCTAAACCCCCTGGGACTCAAAGAGTTAAGGACCTGACAGGACCAAGAGTAACATGTTTTGGCTATTTTGTAATTTCACTGGGCAATTTTATGTTCTGAAGTTTGCCATTGCTTTCTGACTTTTAAAACCAACGCAAGTCAGTCCGCTGCCAAATAACACCACAGAATTACGAAGCATATTTATAATGCCTAAGTCATAGATGCTGACAGGACACACTATACAACATAAATATGGAAAGCTATAGTTACCATGCCAAGAATCAAACGTGTTATTTCAAGACCACAGCACCTCGTTGCAGGATCAAGTGTACTAAGATGCATGAGCATTTGATCACTGCTTAAAAAAAGTTTCCTCATTAGCCATGTCTGTCGTGCAGCTCAAACCCCACAGCTATATTTATTTCCATGTTAGACTGGGTCACTTGGAAGCCAAGATCAATTGTACAAAAATCTGTCTCTCTGCGGATTCAAACCCAAGATCTTCAGACCAGCAGAGGCAAGCATCTAAGCAGTGCACTGCTAGGGTTGAATAGGAAATGATTTTTGTTTCATCTGGTCTCATCCACTCTAGGAATGTGAAGATCATCACAGTGTTAATTTACTGCAGTGTTTCATGGAGAATCTAACAGTTATTTTTGGTTTTCCAAAAGAACGGATACACTCCTCTGCACATTGCGGCCAAGAAGAACCAGATGGATATTGCTACAATGCTGCTGGAGTATGGAGCCAAACCAAATGCTGAATCCAAGAATGGGTTCACTCCGCTTCATCTGGCATCTCAAGAAGGACATACTGATATTGTCTCTCTTCTTTTGGAGAAGGATGCAAATGTTAACTGCCAGGCTCATGTAAGTTCAGTGTTGTTTTGGTCTCAACTTATCTATCTAGCATCAGACCTAAGTGGACTGTCCTTGTCTTGTCTATCTACTGTCAGACCAGTAGAGAAACTGTTTAGTTGCCTGTGCTGGTTGAAACCTTGCCCCAAGATTTTGTTGGAAGCTGTTGGGATGTCTTTGTACTGCGTATAAAACACTAATTAACTTGAGGCTGTTTCATTATAAGGTGTTTTTGTTATCGATCCATACTTTTTGATCTTCCTCTTTTGTTACTAATTCTTGTACAGTAGTAGACATTTAGATGTGGTTTGGCTGGTTCCATTCTTATTAGATGACCTGATTACTTGTATGTCTGGTTCCCTTTTAAATAAGATCTGCCGAGCTCTGTCATTTTTCAAGGTCTGTCACAGACCCCATACTTTTTAATAGTCCTGCTGAACAACTTCCTCTCTTTTCTTCTTCTGTCTCTCTCATCGCTGTCTAATTGTTTTCTGTCTCTCTTCTTTCCTTTGTCTGTCTGTCTGTCCCACCAGAATTAAGATTTCTGAATGTAAATGCAGACACATTTTACAAATTAGTTATTTAGAACACAAACTAATAAATATGTCAGAGACAAAATATGCAAATTTGCGGGACATCCCAGTATCAAAGATGCTCGTTCGTAGGCTCGCTGCTCGCAGAATATGTTCACTGGAAAACACAGCTGATGATCATTCAGCAAGCTGGACAAAATTAGCCAGCTATTCATGGCTACTGTGGTGGCTTGGATACATTCAGTTTCAGATGCTCTCACAAACTCTCCTCCGTGATGTCAGCTCCAGCTGCCTTGAAATTATGCTAATTAGAGATTCCCTCTGATGTCTGCACCACCCTCATAAATTACACTCCTAATTTTGTAAGTTGATCGGCAGTCTCTGGTATTGTTGCAATATATCCACTTATCTGGGGGCTGCGTGGTCTCAAAGCATGATGTCCGCCTCGAGTGCTAGAGGTTCCGGGTTTAATCCCCGGTAATTTTCACGTGGACTTGGATTTCTAGTAATTCCCTCTGGTCTTTGGATAGTGAGATCGGATGCCCGTGTGCATTGTTGCGTAGGTAAAAAAAATCCCTTGGCAGTTGGAAATCAAAAAGAGGATCCTAATGGTGCTGCTGGGGCAAAATTTGGAGTTAAAAATCTACCTAAAGTATTTCAGGATCCTCACTGGTGCTACAGAACCTGTGCCCTGTGCAGAGCTTTGGACTCAGACTTGAGTTAAAAGAAGAACAGAGCTCTTATGGGTTACACATGTGTGCCATGATGTTGATCCGTTGTTCAAAACCTCAAAACCTCAAACCTCTTATTTTAATTTTGTTGCTAGAATGGACTGACCCCCATGCACTTGGCAGCTCAAGAAGATCATGTGCCGGTGGCGGAGATTCTGTGCAAGTATGAGGCCGAGACGGACACCAGCACCAAGGCTGGCTACACCCCGCTGCACACCGCTTGCCACTTTGGCCAGGTCAACATGGCCCGCTTCCTGCTGAACCATGGTGCTTCTGTCAATGCCACGACTAAGGTGAGTCATTGTTGTTCTGTTTATTCTATGACTGGTTTGTAACCGCAGACAGTTTCTGACCTGTGTGGTGAAAATGAAGTTCCTTTATTTGGGTCTGTTGGTTCTCTTGATAGCCACCGTGGTGTAGCGGCTAGATGCTCACCTGTGGATCGGAAGGTCATGGGTTTGATTTCAAACAGATCTGGACTTATAAAATAAAAATGAGAAAATAAATAAGAGGGACCTTACCTCCCAGTTTGACCCAGTTTTAAAATGGGTACCAGGCGAAGTCCTGGGAAGTAAAGGTGGCTGGCATGATGTTGACCACAGCACCCACTGAATGCCTAGTGGATGTAGGTCTGTCCGTCTATGTGCAGTACGCTTGAGGGTTTGGAAAACGGTCCTTTCTTTGTTCTCTGAGTCTCTAAAAGCATTGCAGACATACTCACCGCACACATATGCATACCACTACTACACCCACACACATTTCTCAGATCGATACCCTGATCCACTCTTACATACACACTACTCAGACGGATATATTGACCCACATAGGCATGACTCATACAGAGACGTCTCCTCGTGTGGGTTCCAGGGCCCCATTATGGGAACAACAAAAACAGACCCACTGCCTACCCAAAAGCATGTTATAAGAGTCAACTTATTGGACGTTTCCTTTGAAGTCAGAGTACATCTACCTGAGATGCAAGGAACCAACAGTCTGCATGCGTGTTGCATGCAGTCAGGTTCTGGAGCAGGACTAGAGTGCAGAGGAGTTTACAGCTGATGACTGGGAAGAAGAAGTGGAAGAAAAAGATACAGAGACATTGATCCACTACCCACCCACATATACACCACCACTCACACACATTCACCAGCAGCATGCATACCCATCACCATTCACTTAACAAGAAATGAGGAAGAAATGTATATAAAATAAAAGAGGAAGACCCATATCAGAAACATGAAAATAAGAAAATATGACTTGAATCATCTCTGATTTGATGGCATGTTTCTATAAGTTGAGAGGAAAGAAAGCCAGTGTATATAAAAATCTATATGATTCAGATGCAAAGCACTATCACTTTATTGGTTGAAGAATTATCACTTGATTGGTTAAAGCACCATCACTTGATTGGTTAAAGCACTATCACTTGATTGGTTAAAGCACTATCACTTGATTGGTTAAAGCACTCTCACTTGATTGGTTAAAGCACTATCACATGATTAGTTAAAGCACTATCACTTGATTGCTGTGGCAGAGCGGCTAGACGAGCTGCGGATCGGAAGGTTGTGGGTTCGCTCCCTGGCGGAGCCTGAGTTTAAAAAAAAATGATATTGACTTCCAGGCCGACCCAGCCTTGAGTGGGTACTGGTGCAGTCCCGGGAAGTAAAGGTGGCCGGCGTGATGCTGACCATATCACCCTTCTTGTGCTGATTGATCTATAAAATATAGGTCTAGCCCTATACGCCTTATACCCCTAAAGGCGTGGAAAAGGGTCCTTTACTTTTACTTTACTATCACTTGATTGGCTTAAACACTATCACTTGATTGGCTGAAGCACTATCACTTCATTAGTTGAAGCACTATCACTTGTTTGGCTGAAGCACTATCACTTGATTGGTTAAATCACTATTATTTGATTAGTTGAATCCTAATGTATTCTTGATATGAATGACAGTGAGGATATGAATGATATACATGAACCAGTAACAGTAGAGGCAGAACCTGAACCTTCATTAGATGAAATTTCATGGGCAATAAGGAGCCTGAAAAATGGTAAATCACCTGGATGTGATGAGATACCAGCTGAATTGATTAAAGCGGGGCGAGAAGAAAGCATAAAAATCTATCATGCATTATGTGAAAAGATATGGAAATATGGTATTTGGCCAAAAGACTGGAAGAGAACTATCTTCATTCCAATACCAAAAAAGGGTGACCTGAAATTATGTACAAACTATCGAACTATTGCCCTGATCAGTCATGCAAGTAAAATTCTACTAAAAATTATAATGAGAAGACCTCAGTAAGAAAATGGAAGAAGAGATTAATGTAGCTCAGGCTGGATTTAGACAGGGAAGAGGAACAAGAGATCATATATTCAACATGCGTTTGAATAATAGAGAATGTAGAGAATTTAATGTAAATCTGTTCTTATGTTTTGTGGATTATCCAAAAGCATTTGACTGTGTACAACATCAGAAGCTTTGGAAATCATGAGGAATATGGGCTTTCCATCACATATAGTGCAGCTCATTAAAATGCTCTATCAAGACCAACAAGCAGCAGTCAGAATTGATGGAGAGACATCAGACTGGTTTGGCATCAAGCAAGGAGTCCGTCAGGATGTGTCCCTGTCACCGTATTTGTTCACCTGTACGCCGAAAATATAATGAGAAATGTAAGAGATGAATATACAACAAGGAACAATATGATGCCCTAAACAATCGGTGGTCATGAAATACCAGAAATTCGTTATGCTGATGATACAGTATTACTATCAAACATCACAAAATGGTTTAGAAAAAACTTATTAACCTCACTCCAAAGAAATAGTGAAAATCATAACTTATTTCTTAAACATAGCAAAAACAAAGATAATGCATACAAACAAAACTGCCAGGGAGAAGGAAATATATATTAATGAGGAAGGATTGGACAGTGGTGGAAATTTCGAATATCTTGGGTCACTGGTTACCAGACAATGGTGACACAATGAAAGAATTAAACGTGCGACTAGTTCAATTGCTCTTCAAAGACTAGAAAAACAACTGAATAATTATGGAATTGTACAGATAGAATTACAAAGGTCAGATTTTTAAGAGCATGCATCTTTCCCATTGCAACATACGCCTGTGAGACCTGGACACTTACTAAACAAGCGGAACAGCGCATAAATGCATTTGAATATAATGTTTACAGACAGGTTCTAAGAATATCTTGGGTAAAGAAAAGAACAAATGCATCCATACTTCAAGAGCTGAATATTGAAGAGGGTTGGCTAGTAAAGACAATAAAAACAAAGAAAATTGAAATATTGTTGGGTCACTTGAAACGTCCTGGAAAGTCTAGAGAGAACACCATAATAATGAGGGATATATGCCTGGGAAGAGAGGAAGAGGAAGGCCAGGAGAAGCATGGGTGCAGGATGATGGCAGATGATCTCCAGAAGGGTGGTATCAGACGCAGGACATCTTGCTCAGGATAGGCAGGTTTTCCGGAGGGTTGTTATGGCAGCGAGGTTCCGCGAGGGACATGCTACTGAATGAATGAATGAATGTATTCTTATGTGCAATTTTAATGGTTATACTTATTATATTACAAACATATCAATATCAGAATAATGGCCAAATTATGTTCCTGTCAATCGCATTGCCGCCCCCCCCCCCCCACCCTTTTGTTGTTGTTGATATATTGTACATGTTACAGGCGAAACCAGTATTAACTCTTTCAGTCCCTGGGGTTTAGCATAAGAGACCTGAGGGGTAGTAAAGAGAAACATAATCGGCACATCTTGCCTTCTTTGGGCTTCTGTCAGTCTCAGAGGTTTAGCATCAGAGACCCATTGGGTTGTGAATCGGCATGTCTTGTGTTCTTTGGGCTTCTGGATAGGAACCTATGATGCGTTCCTTGGGACTGAAAGAGGTAATAATATAATATTTCTTGTTATGTTTTCCTAGGTTGGTTACACTCCTCTTCACCAAGCTGCCCAACAAGGTCACGTCCAGGTGGTCAGTCTCCTCCTGAAGAACCAGGCCTCTCCTAATGAAGTCACAAATGTAAGCTGTTGATTGTTGATTGGTTCTCGCAGAGACATATTTGTTGTTTGGTTGTATACTGTGTGCAAATAAAATGTCTGAGAAGGGCTGCAGGAGTGACCAGACAGCTCACCGCCTGTAAACTCTGGCAGAAAGTTCTGATTGTTCATCCACCCCTGAATTTTAGTCTTGTTCCAGAACCTGATTTTTGTGCACACCTGTTTTACAGATCTGGCATATTTGTAGGCTCTCTCTGTTGGTTCCTGCCACTCAGACAGATGCACTCCAACTTCATAGGAAATCCCTAATTAGTTGATTTTTTTCACAAAATGCTTGTTAGGGGGCAGTGGATCTGTTCTTGTTTCCCCACACAATAGGGAGCTGGAACCCACGCAATAGGGCGCTGGAACCCACACAATAGGGTGCTGGAACCCACGCAATAGAGGGCTGGAACCCACGCAATAGGGCGCTGGAGCCCACGCAATAGGGCGCTGGAACCCATGCAATAGGGCGCTGGAACCCACGCAATAGGGCTCTGGAACCTACACTACAGGGCTCTGGAACCCATGCAATAGGGCTCTGGAACCCACACTACAGGGCTCTGGAACCCACACTACAGGGCTCTGGAACCCATGCAATAGGGCTCTGGAACCCACACAATAGGGCTCTGGAACCCACACAGTAGGGCTCTGGAACCCACACAGGAACATTGTGGACTGAAATCTGTACTAAAATACATGCAAAGACAATGGTTTACCATCATACATCAAAAGAGGAGAAGGACATAGAGCATGAGATAGACCATGAACATCAGAGAATCTCTATAAGATTATGTTGGCCCTTAGTTGAGGTGGCCAGAAGAGCGAGAAGCAGAACTTTATATCTCTCTAAACAGAGTGGGAACAGAGAAAGTTGAATAGAAACCTGATTTATATCTGGCAGTACACAACAGTGTACAGTACCATATTGGTCACAATGATATAACAACAGTAATGGGAGATTTTAATGCTCAAGAGGGTACAGGAAGAGCTGAAAATGAGAGACATGTTTTAGGAAAATTTTGCTTGGGAAATAGAAATGATGCAGATGATAAATTAATTGATTTTTGCACAAAGAATGAGTTAACGATAGCCAACATATTTTTTAAACAACACCCAAGAAGACTGTTCACATGGAAGTCTCCAGACAGTATTACCAAAAATCAAATTATATTTTAACACAAAGAAGATAGAGATCAAGCATAACATCTGCAAAAACCTTACCAAGTGCAGACCGTGATACAGATCATCAGTTATTAGAAGCAGATTATTAGATTTTCGCAAGTTCCTATAAAGGATACGCAACTAACTTATATTTTTGGATGTTAACAATCTAAGATAGAATTCTACCATTTCTCCAATCACAGAACGGACAAACCCCACTTGCCATTGCCCAGAAACTTGGCTAACGTGTCCGTGGTTGATATTCGTCAAACCAGTGACCGATGTTGTGGTCATCATCCCAGCCACCGAAGAGATAAATACAAGGTTGTCTCGCCTGAGACGATGCAGGAGACTTTCATCTCGGACTCTGAAGATGAAGGAGGTATGTCCTCTATTACACCTGAATCATTCCGGTTATTATAACCTTTACTGCCAAATG